TGTCCACCACCACGCCTGGCTATTTTTTTTTTTTTTTTTAGTAGAGATGGGGTTTGACTAGGCTGGGCAGGCTGGTCTCGAACTCCTGACCTTAGGTGATCTGCCCACCTCAGCCTCCCAAAGTGCTGAGTTTACAGGTGAGAACCACCACACCCAGCTGAATTCTGTTTCTTATAATAAGGTTATCATTTTTGCCAACAGGGCAGGGCTGAGCCGGGTTTCCCTTGATTTATAAAAATGAAGGAATGATGTGTTGTGTACTCTAGCATCATGGGACAGATTTCTACTAATTTCCTGAGTATGGACGAGTCCACTTTCCTCTTAGGGGTAGGTGTTAGGGTGTAGAGGCAGCCATGTTGCATCCACCAGCAACCATTGGTTGCAGGCAATGGATTGGCAGGAAATGTAATAGGTGCACAGTAAGTACTGAATGGATAAAAAAAGAATGGCGGCCTGGCACGGTGGCTCACGTCTGTAATCTCAGCACTTTGGGAGGCCAAGGCAGGTGGATCACTTGGGGTCAGGCGTTCGAGACCAGCCTGGCCAGCATGTTGAAGCCCCATCTCTACTAAAAATAGAAAAATTAGCTCACCATGGTAGCACATGCCTGTAATCCCAACTACTAGGGAGGCTGAGACAGGAGAATTGTTTGAACCCAGGGGGCGGAGGTTTCAGTGAGCCGAGATTGTGCCACTGCACTCTAGCCTAGGGGACACAGCAAGACTCCATCAAAAAACAAAACAAACAAAAAAACACAGAATGGAAGGAAAAGCTGAAACACCAGGCTCCAGAAAGGCAGGGGCAGGGCAGCTCAGGGAAGAGGAAGAGAAAGGTGTATTAAGTGGCAGGAACCAATGGAATACATATGGGATGTTTGCCTTGGCATTAGTGAACTCCAATCATTTTAAGTGTTTGTGCTCATGATCCAAATTCCTGGGAGATAGCCCCTGATTGGTCTAGCCCAGAGCCAATGCCCTGGTTTGCAGCAGATGCTCTCTCAGACTCCCACAACCAGCCCCCTGCACATGGGGGCAGTCCCCACTTCCAGCTTCCACCATCTGTGCTTCCTTGCCTGAGGGTGCTCTTGCCCACATTCTCAACTGAAAGAGTTCTAAGGAATCAGCATCCCCAGGAGCAACCTTCAATCAACAACTCAGAGGATGGGACGTGGTATATGAATACCCCACTCCCCATCTCCAATGGGAGAACCCTGAGGGGCACATTCTACACTGTCCCCCTGAGCTCCTCAGTGGCATTAAACTACACTTGCCCACAGTGGTGATGGGCTTGATGATGCACATTTGACCACCTTCCTGCCCTTCCCTGTGTCAATTCTCTCCCCAACCCTGGTATCTGATATTGCCTCCCAAATAAACGACTTGCACTCAAGTCCTTGTTTTAGGATCTGCTTCCTAGGAGAGAGGTGGCGGGATACCCAAACTAAGATACCGTCCCTTTGATGCCACCTGTATTAGGGGGAGGAGAAGTGTCCTAGGATAAAGCAGAGATTCTGATACCAAAATAAGAGAAATCCTGGCTGTGCAGAATGACAGAGTCACATAAATACTTGTCACACAGGGTCATTGTGGGGATGAAGTAGCATCTACTGCAGAGTGAGCCCTAACAGTTCGCTCTGCCTCTCTGTTTCCCGAAGCATGTGTGAGGATGGCAGGTGAGTCCTGGTTTCTAAAAGAAAATGCTGGAGTCTGTCAGCATGCCCCTGCCCTGCAACAAGCTGCCCCCAGTCCCCAGAGTCCCTGCATGCAGCAGCCTGACACGGCCCATCTTTGACTTCTTCTCCTCCGGGGCCAGGCTGTGACAAAGGTCAGGAGGCCACGAAATTTCTCAGGGGAACAAATTTCCATTTCTGTAAACTTCATTTAAGCAGCTCTGTCCAGAGAAAATAAAAACAAAGGGTCACACTCCTTCCCCGACTTGGCACACTGTCCATTTTCATGGGGAGTCCACACCAGGAATGACAAGATGGTGAGTCCTGAGCACTGGCTAATCTAACATTTTACTTTACAGTTATTAGAATTATGAAAAGGCAGCATTTGTTGGATAGGCTGCCCTGGTTTCTTTTTTTAAGCAACAGGATCTGGCTATGTTGCTCAGGCTCGGGTGCAGTGGTGCAATACCAGCTCACTGCAGCCTCCAACTCCTGAACTCAAGCCATCCCCCCACCTTGGCCTCCCCAGTAGCTGAGGTGACAGGCACACACCACCATGCCCAGTTAATTTTTAAATCTTTCTTAGAGATTGGTCTTCACATGTTGCCCAGTCTGGTTTTGAACTCCTGGCCTCAAGCAATCCTCCTGCCTCGGCCTCCCAAAGTGCTGGGATTACAGGCATGAGCCACCACATCAGGACTGATATTTTATTCTTGAAAGGAAGATTTCACACTAGTAGCAGTCACCTCATAAACAAGAGAATTTTTTTCTGGCCTGGCAAATGCCTATTTCACCTCCTATGGACAATTTTCCTAGCCAGAAAGAAAGAGATTTAAAAGGTGGATTTTTTTTCTAAGCATCTTGAACAGAAGCCAGAGACCTGGAGTTCTCTCTGCTCTTGTCACAAGGAGAGGAGAGCAGGGATGGGAAGCCACACTGAGAGGCCTGAGGTACCTGTGTGGTTGCCAATCCCAGTTGGGCCAATTACTGTGTGTAACTTCAATGGTCCTCAGCTTCCCCACTCGTAAAATGAGGATACAAATAAAGTTGTCTGAGGATTGAATGAGAGAGTGAAGGCAAAGTGCCTCACATGTGGTAGGCATTCATTATTATGCAGAGTTTTCACATTTGGGGGTTATTTTGGCTTCAGACATTAGCGTCTTCCTTGTTTCTCTACAAGCCAACCAACACACTTGCTTCAGGGCCACCTCCCCTGGGAAGCCCTCACTGACTTGATTTCCTCAGCCTGCAATCATCTTGGTCACCTGTGAATCTCTGCACACTACTTAAGGCTCAACTATAAACTCTCGGGTAAGTCTCTAGATTAGTCTTAATATAGGAGTTAAAAAGAAATTACTTAGGCAGATAGTGAGGGTACAGAAGTCCTCGGTAAGGTTTTCCTTTTAATGAAAAGCAGCCCCAAATCATCTTCCTTTCTAACAAAGAGCAGCCTGTAAAATCGAGCTGCAGACCTAAGAGGCCGGCAGTTGTGCCAATCATGTTCAAGATGGCGGCTCCATCTCCCCTTCTCTGTCAGCCACGTATACAGTAAGGAGCAGACAAGATGGCGCCAGCCAAGGGGAAGGTTCATTTGCACAATAAGATTAGAGTAGGGTGGCCAGCCTTCCCCAAATGCTATGTAAATGTCACACCTGATCCAGCCAATCTGTGGGTCCTACCTAAATCAGACACCGCCTCCTCAAGCCTGACCATAAAATCTGGCAAACTCCACCACCGGTGGGTCTTTCCTTTCGGAAGCCCCTCCCTCTCACTAGAGAGCTGTTCTCCTTTCTCTTTCTTTTGCGTATTAAACCTCTGCTCCTAAACTCCTTATGTGTGTCAGTGTCCTAAATTTTCTTGGCACAAGACAGTGAACACCCCGGGTATTTACCCCAGACAACGAAGTCGCTTCAGTCTTACCTCCCCAGCTAGAACAGAAGTGTCGCTAGCAGGGCTATGATCACGCTGGAGGTTCTAGGCAAAAATCTCTGTGCCTCTTTCAGCTTCTGGTGGCTCTGAGTCCTGTGGCTTGTGACTGCATCACTCTAATCTCTGTCTCCATCTTCACATGGCCTTCCCTCCTGTCTCTTATGAGGACGTTTATTTTTCAGGGCCCACCTCAGTAATCCAGGGTGATCTTATTTCAAGATCCTTAATTACACCTAGAAAGGCCCTTTGTTCTAATAAGGTTGTTTTGACAAATCCTAGGGGTTAGGACGTGGACATCCCTTTTTTTTTTCGGAGGGAAACACCATTCAGCCCCTATGGCTTCTCATAGTATCTTAAACCTTTCCATCACTCCTGTAACCCCAGCTGGCAATTTTATATTTATTTGTGAAACTATTTGGCAATGCCTATATCCTCAGGAAGCTGCAGATAACAAGAGGGCAAATTCCACATCTGTACTGCTCACCACTCTACCCCCAGCACACAGTAGGTACCTAGAATGTGTCTGTGGAACAGACAGACAGCTGGGCCCGGAGCTTCTGGAGAATGCTTCTTGTCAAGGACACCACGCAGGCAGCCACGAGCAAGGCCTTCAGTAAGCGATGTGCTCAAGACTTTACAGCCTCATAAATCCCATGGCTGGTGGCATGATTAGAACTGAGTGAAAATGCGAGCAATTTAATTTCCCAGTGCACAGCCTACAGAGCCTTGTAAACATATCCCCTAAACCAATAGCCATAAACGTTTGATAAAACACCATGTGGCTTCCTGTTTCCCAGAAATATTTCCTGGGCCCAAGGAAGAAGCGACATCCAGCCCCGACTTGAGGTTACTTGAGCACTGTAATTAATGTTTGATAGAGGGCTTCCTAATGGCCTGAGCTCTTGGTGGCCATATCAATAATGATGACATTCACCCAGCCAACCTGCTGATGAGTCCAGTCCAGGGAGGAAAAGAAAGAGGAAAATCTTAGAAGCAGGCTTCAAACACATTACAGGGTAAAGTTACGTGGCAGTGGATTTGTGCAATGCTCTGAGTTTTTCATCCCATATCCGTATCTTTGATCTCACTTGATCCCTGCATTGGGTCTGAGGGAAGAACAAAGAAGGAACTGCTAACTCTATTAAAGGGAAGAGGAAAAGTATAATAGCATCTGCCACAAAAGTAGCCAAGAAAGGGACCTTTCCCAAGTCATGCAGCTCATAAAAGCCTCGGCACCTGAACCAGGATCTTGGGACCTCTGACTCCTCTCGCACCATTAGTGGTAGTAGTGGGAAAGATAATACCATGGCAACTCTGCCTACACAGCAGCAGGAAGGAGGGAGGCCAAGTTCCAAGAGGGCCTTCCTGACCATGAACATTCTATGACACTCAATCATCTTACCTGGTAAGCTCATAGATTGCAAAATCCTCCTCTTCTGCAAGGTTTAGGAGAAGAGAACTTGTTTTAGGATTAACTGTAATCCTGGCCAGATGGAAGAGTCACCTGGAACTCTTTTGTCCATGGTAGAGACCAGCGCTTCTCAAATTTCAACATGCACACAATCAGCTGGGGACCTTTTTCACGTGAAGGTTCTATTTCAGTAGGTCTGGGGCGGGGCGTGAAATTCTGCCTTTCTCACCAGCTCCCAGGTAATCCTGATGCTCCTGGTCTCTAGACCATACATGAGTGATGAGTGGTGGACAATCTGTACTAGGATGCTACAGACTTGGTAGCATCATGGTTGGGTAAAAGTCCTTCTTCTGTAGCATGGGTATGAGCCACTCAGAGAAGAACTGTTGATATGGAAGTTGATACACTGTTGATACAGTGCCCTCCTCCCCTAGATGTTTCATACTCAGGGACTTTGGGCAAATGGCCCCCATCTTCTCAAGCTTCAATTTTCTCATCTGTAAAATGCAGAGTTGGGCAGAAGATGCATAAGATCTGAGCTTTTGTCTGGCCCTAACATCCCAGGACTCTAGAAATGAAAACCATAGAGAGCCCCTGAGCTACTTCATAAGATCCATCCATAAGATCCCAGCCTGGCCCTGAAGGCGGACATCCATTCTTCACATCTGCTCAGCGCCCACTCTCCATTCCTCTGGCTTTGGGGCCCCATTTCCTGTGCAGCGCCTCTGCCTCTCTTACTTGGTGATGTTTGGATGGGGCTAATCCTCCTCTCAGCTCCAAGGTGAGCGCATGTCCCAAGAATAGTCAATCAGAGTGGTTCAGGGGTGAGCATGTGACTCAAGCGAAGTCAATGAAATTCAGCCATGAGACTTTTGCTAGAACATCTGCAGAGAAAGTGCTCCCTTTCTGCCAGCGTTGCTGAGATGGTAGGATAAACGTCTGATCCAACTGGTGGTCATCTTCACCATCATGTGGGGAGAGGCTGCCTGAGAGCACAGGTCAACCTAGAAGAAAGCAGAGATCAGAGACAAAGAGACTGAGTCACAATGCCATCTGTTGGACACCTGGATTCAGCCATGCCTGAAGCCAGCCCCCTGGATTTTTTTCAGCCCCTTAAGCCAGAAAATTATCTTACTTCAGCCAATTTGAGCTGAGTTTCCAGGGCTTTCAGTCAAAATAATTCTGATTCACACACTCTGGATTCTGTCCCTAAAATGAAGACAGGAAATTAGAGGCAAATCTCCTTTTACGCTCAGACACACAAGGACATTATTGGCTTCAATAAATTCCAGAATGTCAGGGCTGGCAGAGGCACCTCATTGTACAGAGGAAGAAACAGTGGCCCAGAGAGTGACCTTCCCATGAATGCTCAACACAGGGGCCAAACCAGGACTTATAACCCACGTCAGATTTCTTTTCCTTACATGCAGGCAACAAACATATCCAGGTAGATGACCTGACTTAAGGGAAAATAGTACTCCCCAAACACATACCAGACCAAAATGACCTCCCCACTTCTCATCACACTACCTGAAATGCCACCATTGGAGACCTATCCCACACTTTCTGCTGCCTCCAAGATAAATCAAACAAACGTAGAAACCCAGGGAGGGAATTTACTGTTTAAGCTTATTTATAGAATTATACAGTAAGAGTTGCTGTGAGTTATCATTGGGTAACTTTACAGATGGGGAAACTGAGGCTAGGAAAGGAAATGTGACTGGTCTTTCCACTTTCAGGGAGAGATCTGTCTACAGTGGTCTGAAAGCAAAGCTGCCATGCTGCTATGGTCTCAATGGTTATGTTCCCCCAAAATTCATATGTTGAAATTCTCACCCATAAGGTGATGACATTAGGAGATAGGGTGTTTGGGAGGTGAGTAGGTCACGGAAGAGGAGCCCTCATGAATAGGATTATGCACCCTTATAAAAGAGCACGGAGGCCATGCAGTGGCTCACGCCTGTAATCCCAGCATTTTGGGAGGCTGAGGTGGGCAGATCACTCGAGGTGAGGAGTTCAAGATCAGGCTGGCCAGCATGGTGAAATCCCGTCTCTACTAAAAATACAAAGATTAGCTGGTCTTGGTGGTGGGTGCCTGTAATCCCAGCTACTCAGAAGGTTGAGGCAGGAAAATTGCTTGAACCCAGGAGGCAGAGGTTGCAGTGAGCCAAGATTGCGCCACTGCACTCCAGCCTGCGCGACAAAGGGAGACTCCATCTCAAATAAAAAATAAATAAATAAATAAGCGAGCACTGAGAGATCCCTCGCCCCTTCCTCCATGTGAGGACACAACTAGAAGGCACCATCATCTATGAACCCTCACCAGAAAACAAGTCTGCCCATGCCGTGATCGTGGACTTTTCAGCCCACAGAACTGTGAGAAATAACTTTCTGTTGTTTACAAGCCACCTAGTTTATGGTATTTTTTTCTAGCATCCTGGCTAAGATGTGTCTTTGGGAATGACATCCAAGGAGAAGAGGAAGGTGGGAAGAGCCCAGGGTCAAAGGATGCTGACTTTTTGTTTTTTGTTTTTTTTTTTAAGTTTCACTCTTGTTGCCCAGGCTGGAGTGCAATGGTGCGATCTTGGCTCACTGCAACCTGTCTCCCAGGTTCAAGTGATTCTCCTGCCTCAGCTTCCTGAGTAGCTGGGATTAGAGGCATGTGCCACCACGCCTGGCTAATTTTATATTTTTTAGTAGAGATGGTGTTTCTCCATGTTGGTCAGTCTGGTCTTGAACTCCCGACCTCAAGTGATCCGCCTGCCTCAGCCTCCCAAAGTGCTGGGATTACAGGCATGAGCCACTGCGCCTGGCTAGGATGCTGACTTCTCTAATTTACCTGACCGATGGGCCAGCTGGGAGCACACGGATCTCAAATCTGACCAGGACACAGGCTCTAGACCAAACTCAGCTTCCTTTAAGAGTCTAGAGAACTGGCAAGCTCTGTTCACTCTTTCTCTGTGGTGAGAAGGGAAGAGAACCTCATATTTGCCCTGAAGATAACAGTTGTTGACATCTCTTTATATTATTAGAGAAAATGCCCAGCCAAGAAATAAACCATCAGTTTTATTTACAGTATATTTCCCAGAACTCAGAGAAACATTGTGCTTTTTTACGTAGGCCTAAAACCAAAGTATAATTTATAACAATACATCAAACTTTACAGTACATAAAACTCTCCCTACCTTATAAAAACATACACAGAATTGCTTACTCTTTACATAAATTACTTAAGAACATGGTGGGTTTGCACATGTTGAAAGAATTCCCATTAGGGGGAAGATCTGTTGCTACCAGTGGCAATCTTTGCAGTGGTTTAGGGAACAGTTAGAATGGGAAACACAGAAATTGTAACAAAGTACTCTATGGGAAAGAAACTCATCCCAGAATGGCTTGGAGTAGAGCATGTTCTTCTAACCATGAAATTAGTCACTTCCTTATTGAACTTCAGCCTTTCAAGCTCTACAATAAAACCAAGGACAATATTTTAAACTAGGGCTCCTAACCGCCAGGCCGTGGACTGGGACCAGTATCAGTCTGTGGCCTGTTAGGAACCAGGCTGCACAGCAGGAGGTGAGTGGTGGGTGAGCCAGCATTACTGCCTGGGTTCCACCACCTGTCAGATCAGCGGCGGCATTACATTCTCACAGGAGCGTGAACCCTATTGTGAACTGTGCATGCAAGGGATCTAGGTTGTGTATGCCTTCATCCCGAAACCATGCCCACCCCCAACCCCACCCACCATCCGTGGAAAAATTGTCTCCCACAAAACCAGTCCCTGGTGCCAAAAAGGTTGGGGACCACTGTTGTACACAGCCTAAGGGCAAGAATCATATCTAGTTTCACTCACTGTTGTAGACACATAGTAAGTGTTCAATAAATACGGGTTGAAGAGAGAGGTGGGGAGGAGGGAGGAGGAAAGAGGGGGTGGCATACAGAATGCAAATGTATCAGTTATCTACCACCACAATAATACTGTGTAACAAAGTACCTCCAAAGGCTCAGCTTCAAACTATTCCTTTTATTACTGCTCACAAGTGGGCAGGCTGCCTGGCAGTTCTTCCAGCCCCAGCTGAGCTCACCCACATGTCTGGAGGTCAGCTGGTTGTTGGCTGATGGCCTCAGTTGGGTCAACCAGACTCTCTCCCATCTGTCTCTCTTTCATGCATGTCTTTCCTATTCCCACAGCAAGCTAGTCTGGACACGTTTTCCAGCTAGCCTGGGCATGTTCTCGTGGTGGCTGCAGAGATCCAAGCAAGCAAGTGGAAATACACAAGCACTTTCTCCAACCTCTGCTTGCATTATGTTTGCTAAATGCCATTGGCCAAAGCAAGTCACATGCTCAAGCCCAGAGCCAGAATAGGGGGCTAGGGGATTAAGAGTTATAAGACAAAGGGCATAGCTACAGGGAGAAATTAACTGGAGTTGTTAACACAACCAGCCTACCACAATAATGATACCCAATTCCCAACACCCCCCGCCCTCACCCCAAGCCCCACTCCACGTTCGGTTATCTAAAGCCCATGCAAAAAGGATAGAAAACAAGATTCTACTGACTCCTTTCTCCATGTGGGAAAAGTGAGAGCTCAAAGTCAGGCTCTTCAATTAGAGTCATATTTATTTAAACCAGCAGTTGCAAATCTTAATACCTGCAGGGAATAGGCAGGTAATAAATTACTGAATCAGACCAGGCAAGGAACAGAGGGCACCAAGAAACACTTCCCCTCTCTCCCCAGGGGTGGTAGCTACACAGCTCAGGCCAATAGACACCTCACAGGAACGCAGGCCCAAGCTGCCACCTCATCTAATTACTTCAAGAGAAGCTGAAAATAGGCATTTTTCAGTGAAATCATATTTAAAAGTTAGCCACTAATTAAAAAATAAATAAGCATAAGCCAGGTGTGGTAGTTCATGCCTGTAATCCCAGCACTTTGGGAGGCCAAGGCAGGTACATTGCTTAAGGCCAGGAATTTAAGACCAGCCTGGGCAACATGACAAAACTCTGTCTCTAAAAAAAAATACAAAAATTAGCCAGGTGTGGTGGTACACACCTGTAGTCCCAGCTACTCGTGAGGCTGAGGTGGGAGGATGGCATCAGTCAAGAAAACGAAGGTTGCAGTGAGTCATGATCCCACCACTGCACTGCAGCCTGGGCAACAGAGTCAGTCCAGGTCCAAAAACATATATCCATGAGGCAGAGCCAGTATTTAGGGCTGAGTGTACTAGCTCTGATTTTAAACACCGCATTTGGGATCTTGGACCCTGTCTTGAGCATATTGCTTTTGCTTCACCATGGATGACAGAAAATGAAGGCAGGAACTGTGTCTGTCTTGTTTAGCACTCTGTTCCCAGCCTAGCACAGTGCCTAGCATATATTAGTTGGAAGAAAGGAAAAAAGAAGGGAGGAAGACAGGGTACAGGGGTAGAAGGGGAGGGGAGAAATTAACATTTATGGAGTATCTATTTGCATTAGGAAGCATTTTACACACATGCTTTTGATTGAATTGCGTTATCAGCAAAATTCATCTGTTGAAGCCCTAACCCCCAATGTGACTGCATTTGGAGATGGGGCCTTTAAGGAAGTAATTAAGGTTAAAAGAGATCATTAGAGTGAAGCCCTAATCTAATAGGACCAGTGTCCTTATAAGAAGAAAGAGCGATACCAGATGATATGGTTTGGCTATGTCCCCACCCAAATCTCATCTTGAATTGTAGCTCCCATAATTCTCATGTCTTGTGGTAGGGACCCGATGGGAGATAACTGAATCATGGGGGTGCTTTCCCCCCTACTGTTATCGTGATAGAGAATAAGTCTCATGAGATCTGATGATTTCATAAGGGGTTTCCCCTTTCACTTGGTTCTCATTCTCTCTTGCCTGCTGCCATGTAAGACATGCCTTTTGCCTTCTGCCATGATTGTGAGTCCTCCCCAGCCACGTGGAACTGTGAATCCATTAAACCTCTTTCCTTTATAAATTACCCAGTCTTGGGTATGTATCAGCAGCTTGAGAACGGACTAATACACCAGAGATCGCTCCCCCTCCCCATGTGCACACCAAGGAAATGTCGTGTGAGACATGGCGAGAAGACAGCCATCTGCAAAACCAAGGAGGCAAGCCTCACCAGAAACCTACCCTGTCAGCACCTTGATACTGGACGTCCCAGGCTCCAGACTGTGAGAAGACAAATTTCTGTTGTTTAAGCCACCTCCAGACTGTGAGAAGATAAATTTCTGTTGT